ATCTCTATATATACATATATGTATCTATATCTTTATATATATATATATGTAGATATCAGGTCGGCGACCTCACAAGGGACAGGTCAGCGAAAATCAGGAATTGATTCGGTGTTCAGTGTAGCAACTAGGTATTGATTCGGGGTTCGCCATGCGCAGTGACGACTGCAACTTGCGAAGGGGATCGAGCAGCTTTATACGAACGTTATCGTGGCTATGGCGAAAGGTAATCGAGCTGCGGAACGCGGATCGGCTATGGCGGACGGAGGGGGAGGGTGCAGAAAAGAGATCAGAGCACGTCCATTGGCGAAACAACAAAACCGGGAATTGATTCGGGGTTCAACAGAACGCGACTGCGGCATTATATCCTGCAGGTACAGACAGGGCATCTGGGAATGTGTTCGGACGTCGGACACAGAATAGGACAACTCCAGTTATATGATTTTACCTTCGTCGTGCGTTGAGCGGGCAACCAACCACCGAACCAGCAAACCAACCACCGAACCAGCTATGGTGGAGGGATATCGAGCTAGGAAGAGCGAAGACCGAGGAGCGAAAAGTGAACCGAACACAATGTGGCAACTGCGGACGGAGTGAAGAGCGAAGAGTGAGCGGGCTATGGAGGAAGGTGGTGGGGGCTGACGACCAAATATCAGAACGCGCGCGGAAGCGATAGCGCGACTTGAGCTGTGGAGTGCCAACAAAAGGGATAACTCGAGGGCTGCAACGCCTTTTATACTTTGTTGCAGCAGGCCTCGCATCGGGATCAAGATGGGGCCGAATCGATTCGCATATCGCACCCCTGGGCCCATAAAAGGCCATCAAGGTGGTGCCGAATCGATTCGCGTATCGCACCCCTGGGCCCATAAAATGCCAGGGCCTATAAACGGTAAGGGGTACCAGAAATTGTCAGCCGTCCATCAACAATTTTCAACCGCGCAGATGAACGGAGCCACTGCTATGCCAGTGACCCCAAAATCTCCGTCTACTCCAGCGTGCAATGATGTGATTGTTCCCGAAAACAAGGGGCAGGCAATGTCATTTTCGCAGTTGTTATCTGGACCGTCAATCGACATGATCCGACGCACGAGGTCAGGCGCAAGAATCTATAAGGTGCGGCGATTCGTTGTGCGCTGAGGCGGTTCGTTGCGCGCCGAGGCCAGGCGACGGTTTATTTCCCACCGAGGCGCGGCGATTTGTTGTGCGTCGAGGTCAAAAACACCGAAAATCTATAAATTCCGGTGTCGCTGTCATTCGGACATTTTGCAAATGTCAACGGCATTCTATATCGATGCGCTAAGCCATGCACCATCGTTATCGATGCGCTTAGTTCATCACCATCGCCAATGCTCGTTATGCACCATCGCCATCGATGCGCTTAGCTCATCGCCATCACGACGCAAAGCTATATCCCCCATCCCAGCCGTCGCGCTCGCCTGACCATCGCAGCGCTGACAATCGCCATCGCTCTCATCGCAGCGCCATCGCAACGCTGGTACCATAGCTGCCATCGCAACGTTGGTTCCATCGCTGCGCCATCTCTCAATCGGTGCTCCATCGCTATCGCTGCCATCGCTATCGCTGCCATCGCTATCGCTGTTCCATCGCTGCGCCATCGCTATCGCTGTTCTATCGCTGCGCCATCGCTCTCCACCGCTGCACCATCGTTGCGCCATCGCTCTCCACCGGTGCGCCATCGCTGCGCAATCGCTATCGCTGTTCCATCCCTGCCATCGTTATCGCTATCGCTATCGTTGCATTGTAACGCGTTCCATCGCCGCGCCATCGCTCTCCACCGGTGCGCCATCGCTCTCCACCGCAGCGCTGGCCATCGCTATCGAAGCCCTGACCAGTGTTATCCCACCGCAGCGCTGCGCGATTTCTCTCTCCATTGTAGCACGATCTCCCTCCATCGCTGAGTGATCACTCTCCATCTCACTCCGTCATTGCGCGATCTCTCTCGACAACCGGGCAACCTCCATCCTTGCCCCAGAGGCTCTCCATTACTCGTGTGCGATCCCGCCATCGCCATTGTATTGCTGTTTCAGGCCGTCATCGGTGCAGCTGCCCATCACTGTGGAATCGCACGAAACATGTGACACGTTTGCTTAACGAAGGTTTAACTCGATGAAACTGATGTTGTGCAATAACAAATCTTGGTCATCGCTGTGCCTTCTCTCTCCATCGCTGCGACATCGCTAACCATTGTTGCGCGTCCTCTCTCCATCTCTCTCCACCGATGCGCGATCTCTACCGACCTTTCGTCATCTATCCCCATCGCTGCGGTATCTTTCCTAATCTATCTCCTTCGTCATCTATCTTCATCGCTGCGCTATCTTTCCTAATCTATCTCCATCGTCATCATCTGCTTCGGTGCGCCATCTTTCTCCATTGCTGTACTATCGCTAACCATCGCTGCGCCTGCTATCTCCATTGTTGCGCCATGTTTCTCCATCGGTGCGCAATCTCTCTCTCTCGCTGCGGCACACCTCCGAACGAGTTCGCGATCTCTTTTCCTTCCTGCGCCATCCACCTTCTTCCCCAGAATATACAACGCACTTTCATTACAGTTGTCTTTAGACTGAAAGATGACATGAATTCAGCTGTAATGACCGGACGTTGTATTCGGGGGAAGACTGTGACTCCATCTATCTCTCTTGGTTTGCCATCTCTCTCCTTCGGTGCACCATCTCTCTCCATGCATTTTGATCGATGCGCCGTCTGCCCATCGCTTTGCAATCTTTCTCCATCTTAAAAAATAGCACGCCATCTTTCCCTATTTCTCTCTTGCGACGATCTGTGGCTCGTACTACACGCAGAACAAGCCGGAAACAACTTGCACTTGTACCTGCAGTTTCGTAATGGAAATGCTCGTTTACAAGACTGAATTCATTCGCTCTTGAACCAACCAACCGCTTAATTTGTCACTGTTTAGTCCATAGGTCAGAATTAACTCGCACTTGTACCCCCAGTTTCGTAATGAAAATGCCCGTTTGCAAGTGCGAATTTATTCGCTCTTCAATCAACCATCCCCCTAAATTTCTTACTCTACAGGCCAAAAGTCCCAGTTTCATAGTGGAAATGTTCGTCTGCAAGTGCGAATTTATTCGCTCTTCAACCAACCATCCCCCCAAATTTTTGACTCTTTAGTGCACAAGCCCCAGTTTTATAATGGAAATGCTCGTTTGCAAGTGTGAATTTATTCGCTCTTCAACCATCCATCCCCCTAAATTTGTTACTCTTTAGTCGATAATTCACGTCTCTTCTCATCCCAAAAGAATGAAGTCGTTTTGTATTTGCGAGTTAACTCGACACTAAACCAACCACGAAGGCAATTTCTTATTGCACGGCGTAATCGAAATGTTCCTCTGAAGTGTGAATTTTTTGGCACTTGAAATTTCTTGTTGTTTAGTGAATAATACCGAATCGACTCGCACTTGTGTTTGGTCTTGTTCCGACCATGAACTTAATTTCTTACTGTACGTTGAATAAGTCCGAATCAGCTCGCATTTGTACTCTCGCCTGAAAAAGTGCAAGTTTACTCGGACATATCCAAACCACTTGCACATTGAACGAGTGGGTGAGGAGTCGGACTTGAGATACCACTTGAGCCTCACATCAGGGTCCGACAAAACGATATGGATTCAAATGTTGTTGTTTCACTGTCTTGTGATAAATGTTTGAAATGTGAGTTTGTTCCCTCTTGTTTATTTCCCTGACCTCGTTATACTTTGACGTGATTTTCTTATTGTACAGTTTCCGTGTGAATCGTTTCTTCAAACGGCTGTCCAATCCGTCCACTGTGTCACGCCACCGCCACCGCCACCGCCACCGTCAGCGCGTATCTACAGCGCTAATCCCCGGTAGTGAGGGTGTTCGGGATGTCGAGACATTTCCCGGTGGGTGGATGTTCGTGGACACAGATTTTTGTGGTGTGTCCGAAACGACTGGATCAGATCTCGTGCTGACAGCGGGTAGACTGTCAGAAAGCATTGAAGTTACCCAACCCCTAGCATTTGACTACAGTCGGTTGTTGGTGGACACATACTTCTGCGGTACGCCTGATAGAAACGGATCTGATCGGGAACAGTGCGGTGCATTTGGTAGAAACGGGTATGCAACGGTACGTGAGTGTGGAAGTGCGAAGATAGGTAAGAGAATTGCATGTGAAGCCGGAATAGTTGGCTCTCCGTCGATGACAGCGACGGGTGCAATGAAAAATTGGCAGACCGGTTTTGTAGACACAGATTTCTACAGTTCATCGGAATCCTCCCAATCTGATTTGCCGAGAACCGCTCCCACAGACAGATTGAAATTCCTAGGTGCAGCGCATGGGTCCTCGACCAAAAGTCAACTTGGAACTCCCGAAGCAGTCCTTCAAGTTTTGTCACATCCCCTACTTGGCGAAAGGAGAAGATATAATCGGAAAAATAGGCCGGTTAGAAGGTCAGAGCATTCAAAGAGGGCCAAAAGTCGATTGAATGAAACTAACATTGCGCTCATCCCAACGTACAAATGTTGTAAGAACAAGTGTCTTCGGGTCTTGACCATTGACGATATCAAACCGGTGCGTGAAGCCTATTACGAAATGTCCCTCGAAAGGAGGATCGAGTGGTGGATGCAAACCCTCGACAATTTCACTATCCTCGACGGCGGTCTGGAAAGAGTCCAACCAGTGCAGTGCAAACGCCGTGTGTGCATCGCTGGTTGGTGCAAAATAATAGGGATATGTCGAAACACATTTCGTCGTTATGGCAAGTGCAAGTCGGACGGGGTCGTCCGTGGCCGTCATGGTCGATGGGGATTGTTGAACCCGAGACCGGAGTATGTGAGCATGCTGGCTCGTGTGACAAGGTTCGTGGAAGAACATGGAGATGCTATGCCTAACGAAATGGTTGTGAGGGGGACCTCACAACGACCCAAAGTTAGGCTCCCTGCTTATTTCACGAAGCTCCTTGTATACGAGTCTATCAAGGCGGACTTGGAAGCGGCGGGTCAGACCGTCATTTCGGAGCAAGTCTTTTATTCCATATGGAGGAAGTACTTGTGGCATGCCGACCTTGCCAAGTCCAACTCGTTCACAAAGTGTGGCGAGTGCGTACGCCTTAGAGAGGCCAGAGACAACGCCTTCCTCCTTCGTGACCGTAGGGATTTCGATGAAAAGCACCGCAAACACCAACTAGATCAGGTCGCTCACCGTGCGGATTACGCTGACTGAAAACTTCGTTCCATTTTGAACCCCGCGGAATACCTCTGCCTTATAGTGGATGGAATGGATCAAAAAAAGACAACCATTCCTCACATCGGCATGTATAATTACTCCAAGGGTCATCGGCGCGACATGATGATGAAAACGAACCTAACCGCGGTCGTAACTCACGGCAGGAAACCGTCCATTTATGTGTACACGTATTTGTCTTTCTATGCGCACGGTTCCGATCGCACCATGACGTGCGTTATGCGGACTCTATGTGAGTTGCAGGCGTCGGGACAGAAATGGCCACGCCACCTCCGCATCCACGCGGACAATTGCTGGAGGGAAAACAAAAACCAATACCTTATGTGTTTGGCCTCTCTTCTGGTTAAATTCGGGATTTTCGAAGATGTCGAAGTGGGGTTTCATGCTCGTTGGCCACACGCATACCGACATAGATGCGACTTTTAGTGTTTTCTCGAAAAAACGGAAGGACAACGATGCTTACACCATGAAGCAGTTGTTCTCGCTTATCGAGTCGTCGCACAAGATACCGCCGAAGTGCATTGAGCTCGATCACATTGCCGATTGGCGCCGGGTAGTGGATCGATATGTCGATAGAACCATCGTCGGCGTATCGAAACCGCACCTCTTCAAATTCTTCATGCGTGACAGCAGTCCCGTCATGGTGTACAAGAAGTACTGTATCGATGAGGACTGGATGCCGGAAGGCAGACCTGTTCACTAGTTCCCAGTTGTCGATGGCCAGTATGCAGGCCCTACCTCCCCTCCACAACCATGTGTTATTCCCCGTGTCGTTAAGGACGATTTTCGGATGGCTCGTGACAGTGTCCAAAAATTTGTGGACGTCCTCGAACAGCATAGACACATGTGGCAGACATATAGGAAGAAGGAGGTCGACAAGCGGAAGGATGCTTTGTCTTACTGGAAAGCCATCTTCGTCGAGGCGGACGACATGATCCAAAAGCAAAAGAAGAAGGAGACGGAAGAGGGTGAGGAAGAGGATGTCCTCGGGGCGGACGAGCCGGAGATCTACCCTCACACCTTCTGGCCACAATCAGTCAAAACTGTGGAGGAAGTTCAAGAAGCCGACCCTCCTTCGCCAGATGCTTCGCTTATATATGTAGGACCGAGGGCGGGCCGTCCAAAAGTGGACTTCGACCCTCGGCACCATATAAGCAAAGGTGATTTTCTGATTGTTAGGCCGCCTGATGAGGAACTGTCTCAAGGTGTCCCGTTCTGGGTTGGTAGAGCACAGTCTGAGGTTGTGGACGACCGTTCCTCACCGCATTTCGGTTGTTTACGTATACAGTGGTGGGTGCCTACAGGTCACTCGTCCGATCTTCGCGAAAGGTGCTCCGGCACTTGGACGAAGAGGTGGAAACTTTCCACTTCCGACGAGGAACAATGGCAACGCGCTGAAACCGTGGCTTATTCTTGGAGAAGACCTTTTCGCAAAGGGACGAATGAGAGCATATTCGTGACAGGCCTTGCAATACCGACATCCGT